GTTTTGGTACCAGGGATCGAACTCGGGTCCTTGCGCTTGTGCAGCAGGCGGCAAAACCACTGAGCCAAATCCCCAGCCCCCTGGTTTCATTTTTTTTCACTCCCTCTATGAAAAAATATCAAATTTCAAGTACCTTATGTGAAGATACCAAGCTCTTTCAAAACTTCTGAGATATATGTACCTGGAAATGGTTAGAACCAGTCTCACAAGACAGTTCCTAAATTCCTTGTCCCAGTGTAAAGGGGAACTCCTTTGTCTGCTAATACATGTATCTGAAATGGATCAATGATCACTCTGGGCTTTGTTTTATCAATGGCAGGGGCCCACTACTATCTTCCACAGGTACTTTCCTTAGGTCTCCAGCAGCTCTTACATTTTACCTCACAGAAGGAGCAGCCTGCATTCAGGAAATGTGTCCCACTGACATGTTAACTGACTCCACAGACTTTAGGATTCTGCCACCCAAGTCTGACTTTTCTGCTTGGCAGCTGTGTAGCTACAGACAAATGAATGCAAATGAGCGCCAGGTGCAAATCTCACCTGCCACAAGGAAGAGTACTCCTCCCCTAACAAGGCCCTGGCCGGCCTGCCTGGAGGTCACTTACTGTCATCCAGTGGCACCTTCCTCTGTGCGGTGACAGTGTTGGGCTTCAGGCTGCGATAGTCCCTGGAGAGTGCAGAGATTAGGCTGGCATGGTTGAGAGAGCGCATGGGCCACTGCTGCTCATTCTCGGGAAGGTTTGGCCATGGAAGCAGCAAGATGTTAGAGAGTGCACGGCAGACCAACACCTGTGCCTGCAAGAGACACAAAGACCCCCATCAGAAGTCAAAGAGCAACCAACAGCAGGTGGCCATGCCTGGCCAAGCCTTGGACTCCTGGGACTCTGAGCTCAGGTCTCCAGGCTCCTTCCCAATAACCTGGCTCAGGCCTGCAGTCCAAGGCAACCTACACAGGAAAAAGAAGTGCAGCAGTAACCCCAAGTCAGAGTCTGGCACAGCCCAGGGCCATCCTCAAGAATCCCTGCTGGTGTCCACACTTCCCTTCCGGTACCTGAACCATTACAGAGGGAGAAAGCCCACTGCACACTGAATCTAGCACGGGCCTCAGCTTCTGCCTTCTGGCATCACCGTGAAGCTACTCTAACAGGGTCGCACGGAGGCTCTCTCATCCCACATGTAGTCCAGGTGCTCTGGGGAGGACCTGCTTCCACCCCTCCAACCCAATCCCGGTTCTGCTCTTCACAGCACCCAGCCTGGGCCTCCCGGGAGGCTTCTTGGAGAAGAGACTTGCCTGGAGCTTCCTGACCCTAGAAGAACACTACGAGCCAGCCTCGCCTCTACTAGAAAGAACACAAAGAACTCTCTTGGCACTGGCCACATTACCAGCATGTCGGGAGGAGCTTTCCCTCTGTTTGCCTTAGAAAGGGCAGCACAAGAAAGAACCACTGAGGCTCTGTGGTGCCGCACACATAAGCAGTCCAGACAGCACGGTGTGGCCTGGACTATGAGTTCAAAAACAAAGCCAGTCTCTCCCTCCTCAGCTTGCCCAGATCAGAGCCAAGAGGCCACCCTGGGGCCTCACCTTATCAACAAGTCTCTGAGCAGAAGCATCAGTGATCCTGTTGAACACCTTCTGCACCGCAGGGATGCTAATCAGAAAGACGGGCCGAACAGTGGTGGCCAGGGAGACCAGTAAGTGGCACGCAGACAGCAGCAACTTGTCTTGGACCTGGAAGTGAAAGAGAACAAGTTGGCTCACTATGTCCCCTGCATGAGTGGCACTGGAAAAAAAGCTTTGGGAAACACCCACAAGCTAAACTTGCTCTTGACTGCAAATTTATACCCTCTAGGTGCTCTCCACAATTACTCCTATGATGACTCTCAGCAATCAAGTTCCCATCTTTTCTTCCCCACATCCACAGCTCCTGCCCTTAAGCCAGTTATCAATTCCCTCACCCAGCCCCAGTCACCCCTACCCTCGGGACTGGGCATTGACCCCAGGGCCTTCCCGCTGCGATACATCCCGGCTCTTTTTGAGACAGGGAGTTACTAAGTTGCACAGGGTGGGCTCAAACCTGGATTCCTCTGCCTCAGCCCTCCAGAATGCTGGGATTACAGGCGTGCAATGCCATACCTGGCTCAGTATCACTTCCGGTCCCTTCTTCACAGTCACTAGCATCTTTCAGGAATCTACAACGGCTCCCTCTGAGATGTTCTATCATGTGGCACACTCCCTGACACCTCACCCAAGTCTTCCCCTCCAGTGTAGAAGTCTTCATCTCACTTCCTTGGTTCCAACCAAGCCAAGATCTCTCTCACCATTTCCTTTCTACACTTCATCAATCACCCATCTCTCCTACTTCTTTCACCTCAAATGTCTATCAAAAACTTGATTCAAATATTATTGTCACTTTCAAATCAGCAAAAAAGAAAACTTTTGGGGGGGGAGGGGGGTGGCAAGGAACTGGGGACAGATCCAGTGCCTTGTGCATGTAGCACGCACTCTGGCTAGGTGCGGCCATGCACACCTGTAATCCCACCAGGCTAGGAGCACAAATTCGAGTCCCACCTCGGCAACTCAGTAAGACTCTGTCAGAAAATAAAAAATAAAACAGGCTGGGGGTGTACCTCAGTGCAAAAGTCCTAGATTCAATTTCCAGTATTACTTAAAAAAAAAAAAAAAGGCACGTGTTCTACTGACTACACCCCAGCCCTATAAATAGGACCTAATGCTGGAAAGAACATGGTGAAAACAGCATACCAAAGTCAGGATATCCAGAATTATTTAGAAAAGAAAGATCACCGTAATTTCCTAGAACCACAAAATATTCATAACCTTTCACACTATAATCTCCACTTATTCTAAGGAAATTACCTACAAAGAACAGTTACGTTCATGAATACATGCATTTCAGAATTATTTATAATTAGTTTTTCTAGAGATAGTCTAAAAGTCCAGCAAAAGTTAAGTACAGACCACACTCCTTAGGGGACATAATAACTTGTTTACAAATTATAATGATAAACACAACTTAAATTTATGGAAAATAATACATCGTTAAAAGTGATAAGAATGCTATCTATACATGATTAAAAGTATAAAAGAAAAACAAGCATTTATATGGCCTATTAATATAAAACGGCAATCTTCTTGGAGGACAACTTAGTAGAATCTGTCAAATTGTACATGGACATAACCTGTGACTCAGTAAAGTTCCACAGACGTGTGTAGAAAGAGACATAAAGAGAGCTCACTTCCATCCATGGGAAAATCCTGATCCATCTCTACAGAAGAATAGCATTGGGCAACATCAAACACTGAAGTTGCTCGACATATACAAAAGACTAAGGCACACTGTTAGGCAAACACAGCTATTATCTCTAGCTATCTACAAACTTTCATTTATATATGAAAAAAGTCTAAAAGAATATACAACCAACCACTGACAGCACTTAGCCAGGGAAGGAAAGTGTTTCAAAGGAAAGGGTTAAAGACTAAAAGTAACTTTTTAGTCTGTAAACTTGAACAATATTTTGCTTCCTGTATTGAGCATGTACTCATGCATTCATGTATTCGTGTGGGACTCAGAGAACTAAAGAAGTCCTATTTGAATGTGGCCTACAATGCTGTATCACAGCAGTTTAAGAATGAGCGTCTGGCTTTGTGTGGATGTTGATTTCACAGCAAACACATATGTGACAGAACAGAGCACGAGACCTTGGTGCTGATGAGCGGTGTGACTGCGTCCATGGTGGTGGAGATGAGCGTCACAAACTGCTGTGTGCTCTGCCGGTGTGCTTCGCTGCAGTACTGCGCCAGCCAGTGGGAGTAGGCCTGGAGAGCAGCCAGGGACTGTGCGTGCCTGCGGGGAGGAAAAGCCACAGGTGAACACGTGTTAGCATGAACTTTTATTGTCACAGGACAAGAATTCCATCCACGGTGCTGGATGTTCCAGGACATGGTGACAGCCTGAAAGCCTTTCGCCCACTCACACAAGACCTGAAAACTGAAATACTCAGCATCGGCATGTGGCCAGTCTAGAACACAGGTGGCAGTTAGTAAAAATGTCTATTGGGTCTCAACTTTCCTGTGAGACACGAGTTCACCTGAGGATGGTACATTACAAAAACAGTACCAACAAATTTGAATGATAATGTGTTGGTTTTAGAACTAGTAAAAATCTAACATCCATGGCCACAGGCCAAGATGAAGAGGAGTACCAGGTACTGCAGCTCTGTGTGAAGGCTCCACAGAAGAGTCTAAGTTTAAGCTTCTGTCACACCATGCATCTGGCTGGAGATAACTGAAGTGACAAAGACCTTGTCTGCTTCCTCCAAAGGTTGCACTGCATCATACAAGCAATAAAATATATCTAAAAAAAGTTCACAATTCATCAAAGATGAAAAACAAGAACTCTTTTTTTTTTCCTTAAATTCTTTTATTGGTACATTTTAGGTATACAATACGTTTACATCTATCATTGGGTGCTTGTACCTGTACATGATGTATCATGGTTATTTTTTCCCCATTACCTGTGCGTCCTTCACCCCTCCACCCTTCCCTATTTACACAGACATCATTTCCATTGTTTTTCTTTTCTCATAATTTTTCCTTTCCCCTTCCCTTCCCACCACCCCTACCCCTTTGGACCTTTTCTTCCTATTTCAAATTATCAATTATTCATTTGTTTTGTTTTTAGGCACCAGGGATCAAACTTGGATCCTTGCTCTTGCACAGCAGGCGGCAAAACCACTGAGCTAAATCTCCGGCCCCTAGTTTCTCATTCTTTATGGCTGAGTAGTACTCCATTTTATTAAAAAAACCACAACTTATTTTATCCAGTTTCTAGTTGATGGGCACTTGGGCTGTTTCCAAGCTTTAGCTATTACAAACTGTGCCACTATAAACATGTGGGCACATATATTGCTGTGGTATAAGTCTTTTAATTCTCTGGGGAAGATACCAGCAGGGGGATAGCTGGGTCAAATGGAACCTCTGGCCCTAGTTCAAAACAAGAACTCTTAAGGTGAGGAAGTTATCTAACACCTTCAAAACACCAGAGTTTGTAATATACCTCAAAGTACTTTCTCTTCTCTCTGTAACAATTATTAACTAATCTGTGGGGTGACACTTGGGATGACAGAAATAGTGCTCCCATGGTGCTGACACCAGAGAATTCCCGCCTAAATTACTACCCTAGTGGTTGCAAAATGGTAATTTTTCTAATCCTGTCTTTCCTTTTTTGTGTTTGCTAGCATTCTTCTGTAAGAAGACTGTTCCCTCCCCTCCTCTTGCTTCTTTCTTAAAATCAATATGGATATAAGAATTCTTATTAGTCAATATGGTATAGCCCATTATTCTTATTTTTTGATTATCCAGGCCCCATGTGTCCTTCAAGTACTTGCTCTTTTTTTAAAAAATAATCAAATAACTACAATTTAATTTTTCTGTTTACAGGACTGAACTTTAATTCAGCTCTATTAAGCACCTTTGTGATAAAATGTATCAAAAGTGCTATTCTTACAATGTACATGAAGGTAGGGAGTGTTTCCTGTTCCCACAGCTGTCTGTACACATATCCAGACTAGAATGCACTGCTTCTATGTAACACTGTTCCTAGAGACAGCGCCTCGCCTTTGAAGACCATACAAAATGAATGCAGAATGTACCATAGAACAGAATTCTTTAACACGCTAGGGAACAAGTGCACATGGTCCCATTACCCAGGAAAGAGAGAAGACTACACATTACTGTCTTCCATGCCCTTTCCTGAGCCCCTCTGTTCATACATTTCACAAGAAAGCACCCAGACAACTTTTCATGAAGTCTGATTTCCTTACTTCTAAGGTTTTAATCCAACTCCACATTTTAGGAATTTATCAGCAAATCAAAGTATTTTGGTTTTATCACTACTGAACACATTTACAGTTTTCAACACACATACATAGCTAATCAAAATGTTCCTGGATTTGTAAAAGATGATCACGTGGTAACCTGCTCACTTCTAACTCAATTAGATTCTCCAAAAGCTCCCTAACCTAGACTTTGAACCTTCCTCCAAAGAGTGCTGGCTTCTTGTAAGAGAGGAAGTACTGGAGCCACGACCTGGGTAGGAGAGGCAGCACTACGGCTCCAATGTCACTGCCCCTGGTTCTAGTGAGTGGACAGAGCCATGGCATATACAGGGAGACTCTACTTTAAAACCAAACTTGGCGTCAATAAGTACAGGGTAAATTAAGTGCTTCCTGATGAGAGGCAGGAGGAAAGAGACACCACATATGTGATGGTCTTGCCAAAAACGCTTCACCTTCAGATCAAGAGCAGAAACCAGGGCCGGGGATTTAGCTCAGTGGTTTCGCTGCCTGCTATGTAAGCACAAGGACCTGAGTTTGATCGCCGGTACCAAAAAAAAAAAAAAAAAAAAGAGCAGAAGCCAGCCAGCTCCAGATTATAGGGTGTTCATTTTTAAAACTTAAGGTCTCGGGCCGGGGATTTAGCTCAGTGGTTTCGCCGCCTGCTGTGCAAGCACAAGGACCCGAGTTCGATCCCCAGCACCAAAAAAAAAAATTTAAGGTATGACTCTCCAAAAGTCTCTCTCTCAAATACACACATATCCTCGGGGGGCACAACTGGGGGAAATGCTCTAGATTATACAAGATAAAATATGTGGCTCATGGTGAGTTAGACCTTGGATCCAAAAGAAATACAGACAGACAGACAGACATTCCTGAAACAGTTGGGGAAAACCTGAATATGAACTGTATGTTTGACTATATTACTATATCTTCTAAATTGGGTGTTGGCAATGTTATGGTTATGTAGGAGAATGACTTTATTACTAGGAGAGAAATGCTAAAAGAATTTATGGGTGAACTGACATGTCTCATTTATTTTCAAATGGTTCAGTAAAATAAATTATAGAAAGGTGCATATGTACAGAAAGCAGGGATCAAAAACATAAGTATAACTGATGACTCTAGGCTAAGGATATGAGAGCTTTTATTCTACAGTTTTCCTCACAGCCTATAGATTTAACTTTTTAAAAATAAGAGGTATTAAGTAAGTACCCTACATTCATGGTGAACAGGCAATTGTTTTGTATTTTATATTCAGAATTCATCAATTAAAAACTAAGGAGGAAGGGCATCAAAGTCAGCCTCTAGGACCTAACAATTTTGGTTTATCTAACACAAATAGCTCCTCATGGCTAAAATTACAGGCTCTCAAAGTTCCTGAAACATGTGAAAGTTGCTCCATTTATGAGCAAACTGGAATCTAAGTAGACACCTCACAGCTTTCTGTAATTCTCAAAGAGGAAAGCAGTACTTTAAAAAGTTTAAAAACACAGTAAATAAGATTCTTTCCATCATTTTTTTAGTTGGCAGTTCAAGAAAGCTCTAGAGCCGGGCATGGTAGCACATGCCTGGAAGTCCAGCATTCTGGAAGGTCAGTCAGGAAGATTGCTAATTCAATCAAGCCCAGTCTGGGCAATTTATGGAGATGGTGTCTCACAAAAAGGAGGGGTGGGTGAGGTGCTGGGGGGTGTAGTTCTATGTGAAGGTCCTGGATTCAAGCCCCAGTACCAAAAAAGAAAAGCTCTAAAATAGGAATCAGTACTTTTGAGGGGAAGGGGTACTGGGAATTGAACCTATGGTCTTCTGACTGAGCTACATATTCAGCCCTGCTCCCCACTTTTAAAAACAAGGTCTCACTAAATTGCCAGGGATGGAGTTGAATTTTTAAGCCTCCTGCCTGAGCCTCCCAGAGTGCTGAGATTTCAAGTGTGCATAGCCAAACCTGACTTGACTTTCTGCAAAACCCACCATTTAGATGTTTTAGACACTGCAGGCCATACATTCTCCGTCACAACTTTCACCTTTGGTGCAGTAGTGTAAAGACAGCAGAGGTTGGGCTGCCTGCCTTGCAAGTGCAAGGTCCCAAGTTCAATCCCCAGTAACAAAAAAAAAAAAAAAAAAAACAGCAGAGGTGATCTGTGAATGAACCAGCATGGCTGCTGTCCAGTAAGACTGTATCATGAAGGCTGCTGTCTTGGCTGAGATCCTGAACCAGCCTGAGACCAGGCTGAAGCCATGTGGTGTTACACAAGCTCAAGTTCCACAGAAATTACGCTGCTTTCCCAAGGGTCCTAAAATCCAACATGAGAGGGATACCGCCAGATTTCCCAAACACCGTACTGCCAAACAGCATGATATTGTACTTCCCTCTGCCTTAACTCTTACACAAAGAAAGTAACCTGAAGAAGCCTGATGTTAACCAATCACTTATTTTCATACTGTTCTGTTTCCTTGTCTCCACAGGGGAAATAACATTTGCAATAATTTTCTTTTCACTTTTTGTTTTTCCTTTCTTGTCTATAAAACCAATGTCTGGGCCAAGGATTTAGCTCAGTGGTTCCACCACCTGCCTCATAAGCACAAGGTCCCAAGTTTAATCCCTGGTACCAAAAACAAAAAATCAAAACACCAATGTCTTCTGCTCAGCTCACTGGAACACCTGATTTAGCCCAGGCTGTATTTGCTAATCCTGACTCTGGGCTAAAGCAAGCCTTTTGTTTGTTTTTTGAGACTGGGTCTCATTATCCAGTTCAGGCAGGTCTTGAACTCACTATGTAGCCCAGGCTGGCCTTGAACTCACAGTGATCCTCCTGCCTCAGCATCCTCAGTGCTGGGATTACAGGTGTGCACCACTAGCCTAGCTAAAGAAAGCCTTTTGGGCAATGTAATCACTGGAATAAGGCCCCATCTTCCAGTCCCCACCCTTCCATCCCTTCCATATGTCACTCTACTTCCTATGTCTACAGAGTTTCTCCAAGTGTTGTCCCTAGATATCTTGCTTCAAAATAATCTGAGGTTCTTGTATAACAAATACTCAAGCTTTATGCTATCTCACCAAAGTCAGAATCTCTCAAGAAATGTGTTTCCCAAGAATTCTTCTGTACCCTACTGGGGCCCTCTGAAACAGTACCTAGGTTCTGTATCAGGCCAGAAGGGTCATGGTTCCCATAATTATAATATCCTACATGAATAAGCTTTAATAAGGTTATCTTTTGTTTTAAAATATTGGCCTTTTGTCCTTGGTTCCTCCAAGAGTTTAAGAGCAGTGGACGGTCCGCGGAGGACACCCCACCTGCAGAGGCATGGAAGTTCCCTTCCCTCATACCTACTCTATCCATCTCCGCAGCTGGTGCTCATCCTTTGTAATAAACCAGGGAATGTGTTTCCCTGAGATGTGTGACCCACTCTAGCAAATTAAACTTGAGGGCGTTGTGGGAACCAAAGCCCGACAGTCAGAAGCACAGGAAGCTCAAGCTGGGGCTTGTGACTGACACTGGAAAGGGGGGTGGCAGAGATAGCCTCGGGGACTAAGTCCTCAGCCTGTGGGATGTGATACGATCTCCAGGCAGTATCAGAACTGAACTAAATTCAAGGACACCCAACTGGTTTCTTTTTTTTCTTGGTACCGGGGATCAAACTCGGGTCCTTGTGCTCTCAAGGCAGGTGGCGGAACCACTGAGCTAAATCCCCACCCCACCCAACTGGTTTCTGATGCTTGCTTAACAGTGGGCAGAAACCCCCTCCCCAGCCCCAGCACAGTGTCAGAGCATCTATGACTGTGAGATTTCCTCCACACCCACAGTTTCAGTGATGGCCACACACAGGAGAAAACTCATGGCATTTAAGGTGATTCTGTAGCAGTTTCCTTCTACACACAGCATGTTCACTATGTGCCCAACTGTACAACCCCCTCTCAGCCTGCACTGTTCCTTCCTCCTGTGGCACCTGCTCTGTAACCTCCACCGATACTCCGCTCACCTGCCTGCCCAATCCCCTGCCCCCACGAACACCCAAGAATCTCTCCTCCTAGGTCAGAGTCTAAGGGATTCCTCCTTATCACAGCGGCAGCCATTGTTCCCTTTCTTTGTGAAGTCATCTGGAGCGAGGGACAAGGCTTTGCCGAGGACACTTACACGTCAATGAGGTCGGGTTTCAGCACCGACGGCACCGCAGTTTCGATGTTGTACAGTTTGATCTGAGATCCGTACAGAGTGACTTTGACCAACCTATTGGCAGAGAAGCAGGAGAGAAAGAGCACTCAGCTCACCGACTCGAATGACTGCCACCAACAACGGCAAGCCCCAGACAGACTGTTCTCGTTCCACACAGTAAATCCCTGATGTACGAACATTTTGAGTTGCAAACCTTCACAGGTAAACTGTGTAAGACACACTGTGTCAGCTTGTCCCAGAATGAGACTCGTTCATAAGTCCAAGACTTACTGTACAAAAAAAAAGACGTTCAATTTTATCTTAAGAATATGAAGATTTATATAAAATTTATATACAATGACATTTACTGAAGCTTTATTTACACCATGAAAAAGTTTTAAAAGTACTGGGGCTGGGTGAGGTGGCCCACACCTGTAATCCCAGCACTCAGGAGGCTGAGGCAGGAGGATCACTGCAAGTTTGAGGCCAACCTGAACTACACAGTGAGACCTGTCTCAAAAAAAAGGTTTAAAGTATTATAAATGTCAAAGAATGTAATACAATGGATTATAATATATTCAATAAAAATTACGCTTACAATATTTAATAATATTCAAGGCATGTGGAATACAAAAAGGCTATAACCATTATATAATATACTGATTTTGTTTTAAAATTGTGTTAGCTGGGCATGGTAGCACACATCTGTAATCCCAGCACTCGGGAGGCTGAGGCGGGAGGAGACAAGTTCAAGGCCAGCCTGGACTACATAGCAAGACACTGTCTTTTAAAAAAAAAAAAAAAATATATATATATATATATATATATATATATAAATTTTTGCTGGAAGAATTTCTACTAGAATATGCTATTGGTACCATTTCCTTTAGGGGTAGGATGAAGTAAGTAATATGGATTTTTCCCCTTATTCTTCTGTACTTCAAAACTGTCTACAATGAATATATGATACCTTTCTATGTGAGAATTTTACAAAATACTTTTTATAAAGCAGACCTGCCCTTTTGACATTTATCTAAATAGGCTGACAAGATCTTTCCATAAAATTTGTAATATAAGAACCAACTTGGAGCTGAGCATGGGGGCACTCACCTGTAATCCTACGTAGCACTCAGGAAGCTAAGGCAGGATGATCCTGAGTTCGAGTCCAGCCTGGACTACATAATGAGACCTTGTCTCAAAAACACCAAACCAAACAAACAAAAATATCCCCAAACCAAGGTGGGAGAGGTGCAGCACCTCAGTGGGAGAACACTTGACTGGCATGCATGAAGCCCTGGGCTGGATACCAAGTACTGAAAAAATAAAAACAAAACCTACAAAAACAAACTAACCTGACTTTTACTTGGGAGGTGGGGTTAGGGACTGAACTCAGAGCCTCACACTGAGCTTCATCCCTAGTCTTATATTCTGAAACAAGGTCTCACCAAGTTGTTGGGGCTGGCCCTGGACTTACCATTTTCCTGCCTCTGCCTCCGCCTTCACCTCTGCCTCTGGAGTAGCTGAGCTTACAGGTGTCAGACTTAAAAATCATTTTTAAAGGCAATATTTCAGATTAACCCATACTTAATTTTTTAAAAACAGCAAAATGTGCATTGTCAAATCTAGGTGGTGGGTATATATGTGTTTTTCTTGTATAATTCTCAACTTTTCTGAAAACTTGAAAATGTTTATGATAAAACACTGGAAGCAAAAGATGGGAGGAAGAAATGCTTCTGAAATAAAGTGAGGTGTTTTAAAGGTCACATACAATTCTTTCAGAAACGAAGAATACAAATGAGCATGACATATGGTAACCAGTTCTATGAGGAAATGGGAAATACCTCTCTTCTCAGAGAGGAAAGTCATTCCTTCCTGAGGGAAAGGAGAAGCCCATGCACAGGCTTCTGGGCCCAGCCTACCCAGGGGGAGCATGCCAACCCACTGGGAACTCGCTGCACATGCAGGCTGCCTGGCCTAGCCCGCAGGCAGATTCTGTAGGTATGAAGAGGGGTTTGGAAATCTGCATCTCTGAAAAGCACCCAGGAATGAAGTCTATACTCTGGGAAATGTTCTTGGACAGGGAGAAAGCAGAACTTCATTCCAAACAGAAAACCAACACCACTCAGAGTTTAACAGTCAGAGAGGGGCACTTCCAGGGAGTCAAAGTAAAGGAAAAGAGTCAAGTTCTTAACTTGGCTAGGAAGTGCTGGTGATAACTAAGAATCAAAACAGTAACTCTCAGCAAGCACCGTAACATGATGCACCTAGTGTTGGCACTCTTTAAGTTCTCTTCCACACTGAAATATGAAAGGGTTAGCATCTCTCTTAATACATCTGTGCAGTCTTCACTTGAGGTTTGTCTTATGTAATGTGTAAGTGAAAACACTACTAATCACACTGGCTAGTAAGATCATGTAGCCACAGGAAAAGCCTTCTCTCATACTCTAGTCTAAATGCAGCAAAATAGCAAGCATCTCTAATTACAAAGCTTGCAGACCAAAGCAGTATAGAAGATCTATATACAAGGACTTAGAAAACGGTGACTCGGCACCTCTGATGTATCATTTCACTGCAAAGTTAGGATGACTGACAGACATATTTATATACTCTTACCAGTAAATTAAAAAAATGGACATCTATGGATTTCAGACAGAAAGATTGCCCCCTATCACTGTGAAACTAAACCTCAGCATAAATGGGCCTACCAGGAGATAAAGAGGAAAAACAGACTCTGAAAGCAAAAATTCTGTAGTTTGCAATGAGCCTTGCGCTTGGACTCAGGAAACGAGTTAAAATCCATAGACTCCTTGTCACAAACCATGTGAACTCAGCATGTACTTTTTCTCTGTGGCTCTGAGCCACAATGTTGCTCAAGAGTAAAAGGCCAATACTGATATCTCAAAGTTTGGAATGACTGAGATAAAAATATGCAAAAACACTTTTGAAAATTTCATACTATTATGTTGCTTTTTATTAATATTAATCTTGCTTTTAAGGGATTAAAAACTATTGGGCTGGCCAGGAGTGTTGGCACACGCCTGTAATCCCTGCACTGGGAGGCTGAGGCAGGAGTATCAATGCAAGCCCCTGCCTCAAAAAACCAAAAAGAACATTGCTGGGCTGGAGGCGCAGCTCAGTGGTAGAGCAATTGCACAGCATGTACGAGGCCCTGGGTTCCATCTCCAACACCACCAAAAAAATGTTACCTGTGCCTTTAAGCTAACATGTAATAGTTAAAGAGAAATCTGGTGTGCATGTAACTAAACTCTCGGGGCTCAATCTCCCTGTGCGTTACCAGTGATATGGCTACTGTGCCAGTGAAAGTATCAGGTGTCTGGGCTCGGAGCTGGTTCCACATCTAATCAGTTTACCAGTCACCTTGAAATTAGCTGAACCCCTATCACTCACACCTGACTCTCTAGTGTACAGTGGGGGAGGAGGGAAAGCCAGTAGAACAGATGCTCCCCAACAAACGCAGCTGGAGATGTGATGGGCAACACTTCATTGGCGGGAGCCATGGGAGAGTAGTCAGAAAAGGAGCCTGGTGGGGAAGGCTGGAACCGCCCCTCAGGCCAGGTCTGGAGTTGCCTCATTTGACCTCCTTCAGGCCTTAATGGGATTGAGCAAACCACAAAAGGCCCCGCCCCTCTGGCACTTGGCTGCTACTTGGTTAGTGATGTTGTGTCCTTTTTAGTAGGGCTTTCTTAATGCTGCTTTATCCTAAGAGAAAAAGACATATATAGATCAACTTCACCTCATCTCTCTCTAGTTCAATACTGTCTCTCTCTATAATACAAGATCACAGTTTTATAATGTGAGAGTGCTGTGCTGAATGCCTCACCTATAATTCCCACAGTAAACCTAAAAGAAATGACTTCCATGCCATTCAACAGATGAGGAACCTGAAATTCAGAGGGGTTAACAGTAATCTGGCCCATGTTAGTTTGGACATGGCAGAGCTGGCAATACGCTGTTCTTCTTACAAGAAGATGCAATGGAGCTCTGAAGAAGGAACGGATCCACTGCATGACAGCCACCCTACCTCTCCACGACTGTGAGGGCATCACTGAACCTCGCAGCAAACACATCCCCGATGAAGTACTCAGCTAGGCGACCCACAGCCTGGAGCAGGGAGCTCAAGTCTCTGAGGGAGCAGTGCAAGCGCCGGCAGTCATTCTCTGCGGTGATGTTCAGCCTGTGCCCTGGAATACAACACCCAGACAGTTTCTCACAGAACACGCTTCAGTCACTGCAGGTAACAGCCTGCCCAGATAGGATGTGTAGGGGAAACCTGGTTCTCCAAACAAAGGAATGCACAGGGTGCTCCTCAGTAACAAGCAGGGAGATGGGCAGAGCCTGCACCAACAGCTATGCCCACAAGCGTTCCAGGGCCTGGGGGAGGGACAGCCAGCCAGGGAGTGCTAACACAGATGAGGCCCTGATCAGAGTTCTCTTGATCCTGGTAAGGTACTGACTCCACCAATTTTACACAAAGAAGGGCACCCAGCGGGGGCAGGAACCTGTCCAACGTGGCTCCTATTTCCAGGGCTGAGCTGGTATTTTAAGCTAGGTTTCTGACCCCCAGCCTGCTGCCCCTGCTAGCACAGGGGTGCACCCCACATTCCACCCTAGTCTTTGGAGTGGCACAGGACAGAATAAAGGCTGAGGACTGATTCAGAGACAGTCCCCACTGCTTCCCAGCTCTGTGACTCACTGAATCCTTCCAAGACATCATCCTGAGAGTGGGGGATGGGGAAGGTGGTGCTACTCAGGGCTACATTAGAATGCTTTAAAAACTCTATCAACTATGGGGCGGTATACAGACCTAGTCCTTTTCTGAAACCTTAAACTTTCTTACTTTTTAGCATATATTCAAACCTAGCAAGGAGGAGGCTAAGATGACAGACAAAAGTATCTTTAATTCACTCTTTACCTCCTTGTCCTCTGGATCCCTCTCCTCATCAATTCCACAAGAGCAGAAGACACCCGAACTCCCACGCTGGGAGCCTCTGAGCTGACCAGTGCCCCTGACTCCCACAATAGGTCTCCGGTGGGGCAGGAACGGTACCTGCAATCCCACCATTCCCTCAGCACTTTCCAAATCTGCTCCCTCCCTCAGCCAGTTTAGCCCTTTACTATCTGCCATCACCAACCCTCTTCCCTGGTACTGCCATCTTCCCACAACTGACGCCAGTTACCAGCAGGGCACCTGAACACGGTGAGTGACCACCAGTGTGTGTGCAATTTCAATACAAAAGGACAGGGCCAACTAGAGCAGGACGGGAGCTCCTGGAGCTCCATGTCCTGCTGCACAGCAGCACTCCTGGAGAGGAGCCAGCCAGCAAAGTAAACCCCTGCAGAGAAAGTGGGAGATGACACACAGGCCTGATGCCTTGGATCCTACACCAACTCCCAAGCAATAAGGCTAGCAATAGCCTGTGATGGCACCAAGGGAGAAAAGAGCCCAAAAGGGGGACACTTTGGCCAGATGTGGTCATGGAGGTTCACATTCCAAGAAAAAGAGAACAAAGCAAGAGGCAACTCAACGAAGGACCTTACAAGGACAGTCAGTCCTGCCCCAAATCACCTGCCGCCTCCTCCTCCTCCACACCACAGGGACAGCAGGGTCTTGGTGCAGACAACAGAGGATGAGCTCAGACAACTCTGCAAAGGCTGTGAGTGGGCAGCTGAAAAGAGTAAGCCCGTTTCTCCAGCCTCAGCAGGAGCAGCCCAGACGACAGAACAGAGTTTTGGTCATGCTTACTCATGTAAGCAAACACTGCCTTTTGTCGGGCAAACAAATGAGGTGGCCCTAATTTCCCAGTTAACAAAAGCACCACAGTTACACACTATCTGAAAGTCAACAGGATTCAACTTCTAAAACTTGCTGATCCTTCCAACCTTTGGGTTCTGCGGCAAACAAAACCTTATGGAAAAGACACTTTAGAATTGGGCACGTGGGTAATATTGGCCCAAAAGAGGTGAGGCCAGATTGTGTTTCAAAGAGCAACTCAGGAGGTTCTGACAGCTGCAGGCGCCCCAGCCTTCCTGCACATGCCATCTTCAGCTCGGGTCAGCTCTGTGCCAGTCAGTGGATTCCCCTTTACTACCTGTACTTAACGTCCTCAACTAGGTATCGGAAGGAATATTTAGTTTTAGGGAAACATTCTGTGCTGTGCTTTTCTTTTAAAAACTAAACCAACACTACATCTGAAGTCTAGTCTCCACTTGAGTGTGGTCCTTAGGAGCCAGTTACTGGACAGCTCAAACCTTACCCTGACAAAGCCTTCCCCTCTGCTCTGATCCAAGTTTCCCCTTGGGCACCCGGCCTGACAGTCTCCTCCAGACACCTCATCCCGGGGAACACAATGTCTCTTGAAGAACACCTCCACCTTTAGACAACTTGTTCAGAAGCACAGGGAAGGTATGTCTCCTCATCATTCTTCATTATGTCTGGGCCACCCCTCGAGGGCAGACCACAGAACACATCAGAGCCTGCTAACACAAGATGTGGAGGCAAACACATCATTCCAAACCCCTCTTGGGTTACATACAGTCCTGCCCACCCCCATTTCCCATTAACCTCCAAGAATCCTTCCCATCTTGACCACCCCCTCTAAACTTGTCCTTATTTGTCCAGCAGGGCATAGCAGCTAGATAGGAAAACAGCTAGCAGTGCGGGATGTGTGTTTTCACCTGTTAGGTGGAACCATATGAAACTGCAGGTATCTGACCACTTCTGAATGAACTAAACCATGATTCCGTACAGTTCAACTCAGCACAAGCGGGCTATGGCAAGGTCATGTGAATCAACACTGCAGATGGCTCTTTCCTGTTCTGTCTGAAAGGGAGACAAATACACAGGCAGGAGGTACCCCAAATCAAATGCTCCCTGCTTGCTGTTCCCTCCAACTTAGAAACTTTCCATTTCTCCCACCACAAAATCACACAAAGCACCAACTAAACCAAGGGGGAGGTGAAAAGCTGTCCATATCCACCCACATTTTCTTCTCTTTGGGTAAAGCTTAAGACCCCTCGCCAGCACACAACATTCATAAAGTAGAACCTTTCAGATGAAAATATTCCTATGTATAGGCTTAGAAAGGCTTTTAAAATATCCATCTCCCATAAATGTGCTCCAAGCCACATCCAAAGAACATCTCTCTGGAAAATCCCTGTCTGGGGAGGTGAGGGAGGGTAGAAGTATAAAAACTAGTATTTTGAGGCATTCTACTCTGACACAACAAGTAAATTATAAATAAATCCAAGCAGAACAAAGGACAGAGGTCTACAAATCTTATACATTATAGATAAAATAATCTGGCAGGCAAGAAAGCTTGTGTGGCTAACCAAAAAAGTTAAAGGGGTTTCTTAGCACTGAGGGAAGACTTCCATGAAGAGCAGCAAAAGCCGAATACAAAAAGGATGAGGAGAAAAACCTGTGAGAGGGCTTCTTTATCCTCAAACAGGATAGGTGAGAGCAAAGGATGACCTCCCAGGGGCATCAGAGGCTCAGAGCAACTGATGTGCAACACTGATACAAGTCTTGTTTGGGCTTTTCTGGGGAAGCGGCAGCAAGATCAGTGGTAGCAGAGGAAACAGCAAGCACACCAAATCTTCTGAATTTGAACACTTGAACAAAATGTCGGGATAAGAGGGGTAGGTCCTACTGAGCTGGGTAACAACCCTGCAGTTTTACTGCTGGTGAGAATGTGTACCCTACTATGGTAAATGACCACATACTGCAGGAGATCTGCAGCTGGCTCCCAGGTAACAGAGGAGACCCAGGTCTAGGTCAATGCAAATGAAAGGAGAGGACCACAATCTAGCAGAAGAAAAGTTAACAGGATTTCTGCTGAGACAATCAGGCTAACCAATATAGCAAGGAGGTTATTTGAGGGAGCAAATGGCCATGGGAACTGGGGAACAAACTGTGCTCCGTAGTTCCTACTTTTTAATAGCCTCTGCATTAGAAACTTGGCTTTCGAGCCACTAAGGGATGGGGGAATGCTTCACTGTGGATAAGAAAGCTCATTTTAAAACAAAAAATAAGTATTTCTTCTGGTATGAGATGTTTTGCCACCAGAGTGTGCACCAAGGATCAACACCGAGAATGAAATTTATAAACAATCTGGAAGAGTCAAGTGCTCTGTGAAACTGCCAGTAAACGCTCTTCAATGAGGTAAGTATATGACATTTGATTTAGGGAAAAATAAGTCAGGTTATCCTTCTAAGAGAGAAACTTTGAGTTATCAGTTGTCTCAGAAAAAGGTTTTTTAGACTTAACACAAAATTTTATCTAAAAACAGACTCTATTAATGTTTAAAATAACAACACCACCCCTACAACACCGAATAGGAAACTTAACAGTTGATTTCAGGCTAGGTTTCCCCCTGCCCACTGCTGGGCCAGGACTGAAGCCAGGGCCTGTGCACTGAGCTACATCCCCAGCCCTTTTTGTTTGTTTTGTTTTGTTGTTGGTTTGTGGGGGAGGGGGGTTAGTCCTTTTTTATTTTTTATTTGAGACAAGGTCTCACTATCACTAAGTTGCTCAGGCTGGGTTCAAACTTAGGGTCTTTCTGCCTCAGGTTTCCAGAGTGCTGGGATTACAGGCATATGCTGCCATGACAGGCTTTTTTTTAAAGCAGATCAAGAATAATGCCTTTAGTGTCCTTAGTACATTCTAATTTGAATAATGGCCCAAAGGGAGGGACTACCTGGACATGATTATTCCAGATCATGGATTCTGGAAACATCTGTAGCATTTGTACAGATGTTTGTACAGACAGTACAGACGCAGCATTTGTACAGATGTTGTAATGATTTTCATTAGTGTTGATAACGTATTTTACAGGCATGTCTGTTTTGACAACCCCCCTTTTAAGTTTCTCTGTAAACTGTTCTTACCCTGTCTACAAAGTCAGGGCCTGGACTTGGTGCGTGCCAACTCCAATCAACCTCCTGGAGCCCACTGGATTGTTCAGAGGCTAATACAGTCATGGAAACAAGCCATTGGGAGCCAGAAAGAAGGGGAACCTCAGAAAGAGCCTCCCATGGAGGCCCTGCCATGAATAACAAGCTGTACTCTCTGCAGCTCGGTGCCAGGCTAAAATAACAGTGATCCAGCAGAGGGGCTGCAGGCCAGGCCTGGGTGTAACTTCTGAAAATGTGAAATGGCACAGAGGAGACAGTGGGACAGGAAGAACATGCGGAACTTTTAAGATATTGGTGTTTTTAGCCAGCAAAAATAAACGGGAGTTACAACAACTTTTTTTTAATCACTCCCCATTTCACCATCGTGGGGACTAACCAGCTATGTGATCCTGGCTAAATTAACATTTCTCAACATCAATATCTTCTGTAAAACAGGGTTAACTAGGAATAGCACACCCCCAGGAGAGCTAATTAGTAACGGTAATAGCACAGTGCCTGGCATACAATGAGTGCCATCCGAAGGAGGCTATGATAGTCACCGAATAAGACAAAGTGCTGACCCCACACCCCAGCAGAAGAGGCCTGCCAACAGCAGCCAGGAGCCTTTCCAGCTGGTTGCAGGCAGAGGCTCCTAAAGCCATCCAAAGTAGGAGAGGCATGGGCCGAGCTCTCAGTGGCCCATCAAGTTCCTGCTTTGGAGTTGCTCCTTTGTCCTGAATCTCTATCACAAGAGAGCCCAAGGCCAGTCCCTTCTAACAGATATGCTGTTTAAGGACATAAGGAAATGATCCAGAATTTTTAGTAAGCCTTACCTCTTTGGTTCAAATTACCTTCTTTTTCAAACATTTCCTTGGAAGACAATGTCCTAACTTCATGTTTTACCTCCTCCACAACTATTTTGAATCCTGAGTTTTAAAAAGGTTTCTCTGTTTAAAAGTCGAAGAGCCAGGTGTGGTGGCACATACTTGTAATCCCAGCACTCAGGAGGCTGAGGCAGGAGGACTGCTGTGAGTTCTAGGCCAGCATAGGGTACATAGTGAGTTCAAAGCCAGCCTGAGCTGCATAGCAAGACCCTGTCTCCAAAAAAAAATTGGCAAGAGATTGAGCAGAGGGAGATTGCAGAGGAGAAATCACATTATGATAGCAAAGTTGGCAGGAATTAACTCTCGGTCTGATTTTTTTTTTTTTTAAATCTTTGGTTAATAGAAATAAAAATGAGTTTACCTGACCCTGAAGTAACTATAAACTGCTGTAATCCCAAATAAACTTCTAAATTGTCTTGAAGAACTGGGAACTGAAAATAAAGAAACAAAGTTAAAAAAAAAAATCACAAATGTGAGTTTTAACAGCATTTTAACATTAGAACTAAGTAGTACCTATGGGGAGAGGGGCAGAATTAAAATTTTTTCTCCAAGAACCTTGACATGCAGCTAAGAAAAAGTGACTCTTCTACAGTATCCCCTGCCAAAAATTTCTACAGTTGAAACGACCAATTAAAATACAGAACAGGAAAGAAAACAAAATATCAGTTTGATTTTTTAAAAGCAAAGCAAAGGATATTAAGGTGTGACTTACATTCCTAGAAGAAAATGTCAGGTTACCAAATGATCTGTACCTTTTAGAGCTCTGAGATGGGCCCATATCTCCCTTCAAGCGCAAGGGAAGCCCTGTCCTTAAAGGAAGTATCAGGTATGCCTCGGCAAAGCACAAAATAAAATAAAAAGATGGGCCAGATTATTTGGAAGTCAGTTTCCCATGTCCATGTAGCAGACAGGACTGTATAATCAGAGCTGGATCTTTCATTGTAAAGTTGCTACACTGACTGTTAAGATAAAAAGAAAACTCAGTGGGGCATGGTGGCACACACCTATAATCCCAACACTCTGGGAGGCTAAGGTAGGAGGATCACAAGTTCCAGGACAGCCTGGGCAACTTAGCAAGAACCTGTCTCAAAATTCAGAACAACAAAACAAAAACAAAAATTTTAAAGGGGCTGGAGATGGAGCTCAGAGTGATGGCCCTGGGTTCAGTCGCCAGTACCAGAAGTGGAAGGGAGGGGGAAACTTGTATGTATCTCCTTACATACGGCAAAGTAAAATGGTGCTTCTAAAATTTCATATTTTATCCAATTTTATCATATTTTAAACAAGGCTTCCAAAATTGACTCAAAATAGTTTGCAAAAACATTAACATTTGTTAAATTTGATTTGAGGGTCAGTTATGGGAATTAATCTTCTCTGCAGAAAAATGTACTTTTAAAGGAGAGGGGTTGGTAACAGACCAGTGAAAAAAGCCATGCTGCAGGTTACCAGAGTTGAGAAGGCGTGTGTAGGAAGGAGCTCCATCACTTTGGCCACTACCTCCAAGCTCTGGCGTAAGTACCGCTGCCACTCTGTCTGCTGCTGTGAGAAAACAAAGGAATCAGTCTCCCACACAGGCGGGAGACTCCAGTCATCTCACCGGCCAGTTTCCCTGATGCCTCCAGTCCACTCTCAGACTTAAAAGTTTGAAGAAGTGCAAAATGATGGAACCAGGTTATTTGGTGCTTTTAAAAGCCAAGCCAGAAACACTTTTTAATCCAATAATTACTTTCCTAACAATCTATTTCCTTAGAAGACAAACAATCCACACAGAGTAGCTCACTTTCCCCTGGGGTCACAGGTGTACAAAGGTCAGCGAGCACCTGGGAAAGGTGAGTGCCCTTTGCATCCTCCCATCTACAGGACTCGGTCAGTGGCCATTGTCTGACGCAGCCCATTACCAAATGTCTGCACATACACAGCAGCATCAGTAACATAAAGGTGTGGGCCACAGACAGGCAGTGTCAACATCCCCTGGGGCCTGCAGCAGCAGCGCCCCGCCCCCCCAATTAAACTCAGGACCTTGTGCTTGTCAGGCAGGTACAGCACCACTGAGCTACATCCCCAGCCCTTTTTCTTTTTCTTCTTCTTCTTCATTTTTAAATTAGCATTTGTCTTAACAAGTGATTCTTATCCAAGCTAAAGGTTAGGAAGCACTGACCTAATCAGAGTTAGCAGGAAGTGAAACTCAAGTTTACCAAGCATCTAAACTGTGTCTCCAGCATGCACCCAGTCCTTCTCCATGGGTGCCTAATGTACCTGCCAACACAAGGCAGTAAGATGCGTAACGCACCTTTAGGCAGATGAGGGAATCAAGGCTTGGAGAAACTCAATGCCCAGACCCTCAACTCCTCGGTGCTCAAGGCTGCAACAATTCCAGTCCAGGACATCTGGCTCCAAGTATGCCCCCTCCCCCCAACACAGCCATCCTCAGGGTCTTGACCATGCCACATCGCTGTAACTGCAAGAACAGCAGTGATCACTTGATGACTTTAACATGTCTAGTGCTTAAGGGAAAGGAACACTAGAGCTTCAAAACACTTTCCTTATTAACCACTTACCAGCCAATTATTTAAATATAAGATGATCAAAAACTGCATATTTTAAAAATTTTTATAAGATAATGTAATGAGAAATATAAAAACAACACTTTAATCAAATGTATTCAAAGAGAATCGACTGGTTGAAATGACACCTGCCTAAGAGATGCTCGGCATTGTCAGTACGTAAATAAATGCACTGCCCCAGTGACGTCTGGTGTAAACTATTAAGTGGTTAATGTTGGATGCATGCCAGCATCAGTTACATTCAGTGACAGTTTATGCTGAAGGTGGTGGCACATGCGTATAATCCCAGCACTCTGGGAGGCTGGGGCAGGAAGACTGCAAGTTTGAGCCAAAGAATTTTGAAAAGGGGCTGGGGATGTAGCTCACTGTGAAGGTCCTGGGTTCAATCCTGAGAACTACAAAAAAAAAAAAAATCCGTTGACAAAATACACTCAAGACAGACTTTCTCTCATTCTAGCCTATCATCAAATACCTCTTCAACTACTTCCACCAAAATGTTCTTTGTTGTCCAGGGAAGAGAGCAGAGGTACAGGTGCAAGGGAGACGGAACGGGAAGGACAGAGTTCTACCAATCCACTTTGCACTGCACATCTGGTTTCTCTACTTATAGTTTTAGTCCATATAGATATTTTTTTCAGTCAATGAGGCAAAAGAGTAGGAGATTTAAGACCATTCTAACTGAAAAAAAAAACAAACTATTCTAACTGTGCACCTCAAACCTTTGAGGCTACTCTGGTTTAAGAAGTCTCCAGAGCATGGGCCGGGGATTTAGCCCAGTGGTTCCATCGCCTGCCTCGCAAGTGCAAGGACCCAAGTTCGATCTCCGGTACCAAAAAAAAAAAAAAAGAAGTCTCCAGAGCAGAGGGTGCTAGGCTCCACGCCTCCATTCTGATTCCTGCCACCACGCAACACTGACTGCGGGCCAGTTAGGGTGTGCTGCTTACATCATCATCCAGAGTCTCATCATCCAACTCCTCCAGCTGGGCCTGGTTGTATCTAAACTGGATTCGGTTCAACACCTCCGTGAGCAAGAGGACCAGGGCATCTTCGTACCTATGTGGGAAACAGAAATTCAACAGCAAGTGGAAGGAAGCTTTTAGTCAAGGATTTCAAAAAGGCTTCCTAAACTGAAGGGAATGGTATTCAGGTTAGACTATCACATGCGAGAAGCATAAATCCCCAATGCTAAGTGTACAATTCAGCAAAGGTGTGTGTTTGTGAGCAGAACAGGAGCAACGCTATTATTTAAACTATATTCTAGGTATCATACATCTGTTCGATGGATGAACCCTTTCACCATTACATAATGTGTGCCTTTGTCTCTGGTAACAATTTTTATTTTAAAGTCTATTTCGGAGGGCCGGGAATTTAGCTCAGTGGTTCCACCCTCTGCTCTGCAAGCGCCAATGTCCCGAGTTCAATCCCCAGTACCAAAAAAAAAACCAGTCTATTTTGTCTGATATCAGTATTGCTAATCCAGTTCTTTTTTAGTGTTTAAATTGAATATATTTTTGCATCCTTTCAATCTATCTGTGTCCGAATCTCAAGTAAGTCTCTTGTAGACAACATGTGAATGGATCATGTTTTTTAAAAATCCATCCTGCAATCTCTGCCTTTTAACTGGAGAATTTAATCCATTACATTTAATATAATTACTAAAGGATTTATTTCTGCCATTTTGTTGTTTTCTGTATGTCACAAGCTCTTCAATTCTTCCATTTTGGCCTTCTTTTGTGTTAATTTTCTAGTGTAGCTTTTTTTTTTGGTACTGGAGATCACACTCGGGTCCTTGTGCTTGCACAGCAGGCGCCGAAAGATCTGGTGTAGCATTTTTTAAAATTTTATTTTATTGGCACATTTTAGGTGTACAATAAAATCACAATCACATTCATCACTGGAAATTTGCACCTTTACATCATCTCTCTTGGTTCTTATTTTTTCCCCCATT